ACACAATACTGCTCTTTCTTGGGCTTTCCAATGAATATAGTTATGTTCCTGGGAAAATATGGAAAGAAAGGGCTAAGACCAGTCAAATTGGATGAATAGGAGAAAGGATTTTGAGCCTTAGGAAATGCTGTTCATTTACTTATGAGGATTATGTACACTGTATAAATAGCATAAGATTCTCTAGGAACATTAGACAAACAGACAATTATATTGCAGGATTGCTGATTAAGGCACATGGTACAGGTTCCGGGACAATGCTATTACCAGACCAAAAACTCTAATCTATTTCTCATTTTCCTTCTATCATTTAAGTCATTAAGGTTTTACATGCTGGAGCTGGCAATTAGGCTGGGAAGAGTTTTTGGACAGTGACTATGTACTCTCTGTTCTGTGCCAATAGGACTTTTCAGAAATTAACACTTCAAAGGATAAGCATCAGATTCTGATCTGGGTTAGAGAAAATGAGTCTGATACAACACAATTGAGATCAGCAGACTACTTACTACAGAGTTACACCTACATGGATGAAAGCAAAAATTAGACTTGTATATGAAAGAGTCTGCTACTGCATCTTATTCAAAGCTAATGCTCCATCTATGCTTTTTGCTTCATATTTTTGACAGAAATTGCATTCATACATCAGACACATTAGAGAGGATCAACTTTCTTTGCAGTGATTTTTCATTTATGCTCTAGAGTCCCACCTAATCCTGAATGTGCTGACACCTGTATGAACTGTACAGGAAGACAGAGATCCTGCCTGAAAGAGCTGACAAACTTATTTCGTTTAAGGACTTTGTTATCACTTGTTGCTTGAAAGAATTCTTATCTCTCTGCAACACTACTTTATGTACCCAGCTAGAGCTATATATTTCTTTATTTCATGTTTTTATTTCTAGGAAGTGAGGCTTGGTCCTCATAGCATACAGGAGATATCTTGCATTTATCTGTTTCCACCTTGCCTCCCTTCTTCTCCTTCCTCTGCCCCCAGCAGCCCCCAGTGGGCCTTCGTACATGGGTGCAGGCTGCAGGACACCCATGGAGACAGTGCACCACATAAGGAACAAGTACGATATGAAAAGCGGGTGATGCTTGTGGGAATCCAAGCAATGCCATCGAGCATGCTTCTGAATTGCCCCTTCGCTGAGTGTCCCATGACTGGGACTGCATGGGAGCCTGTTAGATGTTCAAGTTCTGTGCACACACACTTCACCATGGGGAGCTGCTATTTGGAGTGATGAGGGGTGTAAATGGCAATGGTAGAGACTCCACTCTCTCTCATCTGTAGCACAAAAGCTTAATCATTATGCCTGAGCATAGAAGTCCCTGAGGTCATGACATGAGGACAACCTATGAGCTGTGATCCTCTTCAGAATGTGTCTTTTTGCACAAATCACCCTTGACAGCATCTTTCTAGCCTCCCAGAGTGCCCGACATTCCTTATGAAGCAGGGTGATGTCCGAGGGATCCAGAGCTTTGAAGAGCCTGCAATGGTTTTCCCATCTTCGTGACAGTTGCTATTCTTTGGTCTGTCACTACCAACCTCCATTCTTTCCATTCCCGTTCTCTCCTGAATGTCATCTGCATGATCAACTACCACATCAGCCAGATTAAGAACGCTTTCACTGCCTGCCTTTCAATGCCATGAATTGCCCGTGCACCCAGCCAGGGTTACCATCGCGATTGTTTCCAAAGGAAAACTGGACCCATCTCACAGCCCAACAGCCTGAGATCTCACAAGGTAACAAGCACTTGTCACCACAAATAAACCACGGAATGTAGCCTTTCTGTGTGAGGTTTTAATTACTGTTGGCGAGTGTAAGTTTACAGCTGGAGATGAGGCCATGTGTGATATCAGCAGAATAAGATGCCAATATCAGTGACTGTATCACTGTTTCCAAACAGAATTCGTTTGGAAATTGCTTCATTATTTTGAGAGGTCTTGGAAAATGCTTTAATCTCTCCCACAGAGTTTTCAGACCATGATGGTTAACATTTATCAACCATATTGTCTTCTCAATTTTAACAGATAAATCTTCATTTCCACCCTTTCTGGTAAAGGTGGATTTAAACCAGCATACTCAAAGGTCGAAACTGTTGACAAATAATTTTTGGCTTATTGTCAGGTTTGTCTTTTGATTAAAAAATTAGTTCTAATTTTATTTGATTTCCTAAGGAATGAAGACTTACCCTCACTACACGTGTTCCATATCTGTGTTTACACTATTTTGTCTGCTTTTCATATATTTTGCTCCTGTTGGCCAGTTTCAACCAAATTTTACAGATTTATGGACATTAAAGTCCTCGCAAGGTTTGTGAAAATAGGCAATCAGGAATTTGCGAAAACAGCCCAGACCTAGCTCAAAATGTCTTCCCTGCAATCGATATTCATGCTACCTGATGGTAACTCATTTGCATCTGCTCTTGCTGCAGTTACACCTGGAGTGGACATGCAATGGCAAAAATAGCACAGTCTTTCTCAAAAATCTGCTCCCTGGAGGAACGTGTGAGCTTAGTTACCTTTGGTATAAATCACAAGGAAGTTTGTTCGTTACAGTGAAATTACCCCAGATTTACACTGTCAAAACTGAGAACAAACACTGCCTTTACATACATGTAGTTACATTTAGTGGCAAGAGTGAAGAGTCCAGTGCAGCAAATTGTTAATCTCAGGATTAAGTGGGTTGGTTAGTTTAGGACTGCCCGAATAAGGACTGCTCATGGAGAGGTGTGTGAACCAACAAAGTGATGGAGACAGAACAAGAGCCTGTTCTGGCCCATGCGCCGATCTCATTGTTAGCAAAGACTTTCTCACTGAAAAAATTATTGGTACTGGCTAGCATGTAAGAAAGAATTGAAGTCAATGTTCAGCTCCCTGAATACTGCAGCACTGGCAGCTATGCATAATAAAACGATGCTTTTTATTTTTTTTTTCACATTAGCAAAATGCTTGTGAAGGTCTGTGAGACCATGAACTTTCCACAATGCCATTTAAACAGGCGCTTTTCAGGTTTAATACTGTGTTTTGTGTTCAATCTGTACATTTCATTGCTGTCATCACTCAGATATGCTTCTTGCTTTGTGAGATTTTGAGAGAAGAAAATGGATGCAGTTTTCCTTATTAGCCACTCCTTTTCCTTGTCTCAGTGTCAGGCTTGCTGTGAAGAAGACTGTCAATTTGTTTTATCACATGCATCCCAAGGCAGCTCCTTTTTTTTTTTCTCCCTGACTCTCTTGTGTTCATCACAGCATTCGTGGTCTTGCTCTCAGAGCACTTCTTACTGAAACGCATGAATACAGCCTTTCTTTTCCCAACTATTATGGTTGCTTCTGCTGCCCCATTACAGCATCAGTGTGAGTATAAATAATTATATATATTTAACCTTTTACAAAGGATGGAGTTTCCACATTTTCAAAGCACCTTTCAACCTGGGCAGCCACACTCTCGTTATTTAACAGCATAGTGACGTTCTCTATCACTAACCTTTGATAATAATGAAATGGTTTTCTGTTTGCAAAACTTTCTTTTCCATACAGACTTCTTTTACCCTTTCTCCTGGTTGTGCCTATGGGCCTGTCTCAAGCCACTTAAGAGAAAGAAGTTTCTCTAAAAGAAGACAAATGCAGCATTAAAGCCATTTTCTCCTTCTACTTCAAAGACACCTGTCTTAGATACAACCCCTGCAAAACACCTTCTGTACCACACAGCAGGAACAAACTCTTCTTTATCCATGGTATGTAGCAACCCAGACAAAACCAGAACACCCCTTATACAGGAGGTGTATTAAGTTGATAAGACCGTATTTATTGTGTTCACTCTGATAAGCTTGTAAGCAGGAGTAGTTTGAAGCAGAAGGGGTTGAAAGGTCCTGAGGTACTGATGTGATTGCTACCTTCTTCATGTCTGATGCTGCCCATGGGACCAGGGAAGCATGGAAGGGCATGAATACCTCACAGCCCACCTGTGGATTAATTGACTGTATGAACTTTTTTCCCCACTTCTTCAAGAACTTTCCAGTCATAAACCTATCTATAATCCTTCTCTCTGTCACTTAGACACCTTTCTGCCTCCTATTCCCCTTCCAAGATGCCCCTTTCAACTTTTCCCCCATATCATTCCCAATGACTACAATGCCTTTCTTCTCCATCTGCCCTTCCCTGCCTTACATCATCATTTTCTCTTCAGAAAAATCACTTGCTTGCCCCCTTCCGAGGTGTTTGCTAGTGTTCAGAAATAGGTGATGTTCTTTCTGTTGGCTTGGACAGCAGTTAGGATGGGGCCGTCTTTGGGAAAAGAGTCATGTTATGGATGAACTGCAGAACTGGGGATATGGATGGGGATCATTTGGAGACAAAAGATTTTGGGGTAGGAGATTATTGAACTCTTTCACACAAGTCTTAAAACTTTTGATCAAAATACTGGTTTGAAACAAAAAATTGAAAAGATTCAATCAAAAAATGACCAAATGAAAGATTTAGATTTTCCAAAAAATGCACTGAATTGAAGCGGGTGGAAGAGAAAGATTTGTTGAATTTTATCAGAATCCACAAATAATGTTGGTTTTGACTGGGAGATCCAAATTCTCTTTTCCCCTGTGCTATTCCTTCATGATGCTCCTTATTCCTTCATGTATGTTCCTTAGCTTTTCACTGCTCATCTGTGAAATGGTGCTAACAAGGCTTCTCTACCCACCTTTTAAAATTCATTATTATTTACAGCACACACTGATACTCCGAAGAAAAGCAGTTTAAAAAGTGAAGTATCTTGGTTATGTTAATCCAGAACACTAAACATTCACTTAATTTAAAACATATATAAATTAAGGAAGGAAGAAAAGATGTGAGGAAAAAATAACTCTAGAAAAATACTATCCATTTAGTCTGACATACTTTGTCCTACGGTACATAGCAAAGGGTGAGATATTTCACTTCGCAGAGGCAAATTGCTGGAAAGAAGAAAAAGTCATGGTACTATCTGTTAAAAATCTGTTTCCTCTTACCCAAGACATAAATCTCACTGTTGACTACGGCTGTACTGAAGCGGTATTTGGAGTACTTCATTGGCGCACCTTCTGTCCATTTGTCTTGGCCCGGGTCGTACCGAAACGTTCTGTTACTTAATCGATCCGGCTCATCGTCAGGCAGATCCATCTGTATGAAATATGACAGCCATATAATAATACAACATTTGGAGCCCTCTGCACATGCCTGCATGCAATTAATCACAGCAGACAGCTCACCAGATAAATAACATAAACACATCAATTATAGCTGTGAAGTGATTCATACTCACTAGCACCCATGACTTGTGGCTGGGAGTACACTGTAGAAGGCAAATGAATAAGAGGGCATCTATACTCTGCAGCAATAAAGCTGAGGATTTGGGTAATAACGATATGTTCATGGGCCCAGCTCTGGCAGAACGTACCTCTTTTACAAGGCTGTTGTAAAGTCCTAAAAATAATAGAGGGAAAGCCAGTCTCTCTGACATTTTTTCTTCCGGCTGAAGGTTGAAATCTATTCCCACTGTTACTCAGACCGCACCGTGAGTCTCAGTGAGGTCCTTTGCTGGCCTTTCTCAGGCCTGTATATATACATAACTTATTCTCAAGTCATTTGCACATTTATTTAGTCAGCTTAACTAGAGTAATATTGTTCAACTGCTGTGACTTCAGTAGTTTTCATAATAAGTTCCTAAACCCCCGCTATATCTTTGCTGCCATAATACTCTTTTTATACTCACTCCTACTCCTCTTGTCCTCTCTAATCTTCTTCCCCTTTCTCTGCCTGTCTTGTATCATGCAGGGAACTCAGATTATGTTTTCTGGGTACGACACCCTTGAATGTAAGCAGTAGGCTGTGGGGGGAGGATCCTGAAATATTTTGGGATGAAAGGTTTCACATAGAGAGAGTGAGAAATAGAGAACTACTTTGCTTGCCTGTGATGGTGTTATGTGTGTTCTTGCTTTGCTTGTTATTTTTCTTTCCCAAAAGACCTTTCCAACACTAATGTCACAGACAAGATAGTAGGAGGCAAACTAGAAAGCAAATACATAGCCCCTTGGTTACTCCCTGTAGGCGCCCAGGGGCATGCTCTTTCTCTGTGGTAAGTGCGAAACACTAATGTATTCACTGAAAGAGGGGTAAGCTGTGCATTTTCAATTCAGGCTAAGCATATACTTCAGAGCAGGCACCATTTGACAGGCTGTAAATTCACATCCTACCTCATTTTTGAGCTAACGTTCACCTCAGAGCACATCCTGTGCTCTTTATGTACAGAAAACGTAGCATCCAGCAACCCTTCTCTCTGTCTCAAGGGTCCGAGACCTTCCTCTTAACCTCGCCAAACGCTTTCTTCCATTTTAAGAGCCCCCAGTTACCAAGGCTGGAGTCGCTTCGGTTTTTAACTCCCCTGGCATCAGTGAGGCTAGACCAATGCTGACCCAGAGCAATGCTGCTGTGAGTCGAGCCTTTGCCCTCCTAAGCTGTCATTTTATGTCCTGGCTTCACTTTGTCTTGTTTCCATTGCAAAGCCAGAGCGGGAAGGGAACATGTATTTATCTCTGTCCTGTAATGGACACATGCATTTACGGCACTCTCAATGCTGCATCGTTAGTATTTGTTCAGGATTGACAGAACATTCAGTGCTGCTTGAGCATAGGGATAACTCCCAGCTTGACGAACTAATTTGCTTTCATAGTGCAGCTGTGGTAGCCCCACATATACAATCACTGCATCTGACAGGTGAGTGTGGGAGAGATATGGTACCAGAACAATTCAGCACTCTGTAGTGCTGGTCTTAAAGCCCTTTTTTGAGAGCTTTAGCTAATTTGTTCTATTCTGTTCAGGTACGCCCTAATCTTACAAAGCTATGGTTTTTAATCAATTACTGTTAATCTGCTTATCTCAAGCCTATTTATGTATAAACTCACACTCCCATGTATGGTTACTGATAGTACTGGTCTGCATGTATCCACTTCAGGGGTTTTCAAGGTGCCTGTATTTTTTTTAAAGCCATTCTTGGCTCAATATTCCGGAGTTGTGCTTCTAAGCCACTTTTCCCCCTTACAATCTGTTCTGGAGAACTATTAAGAAAGACAAAGCTGTTTGTCTGACTTCAACATCTATACTTGTTATATGACATAGCTCTCGGTTCAAGTTGTTTTACAGACAGATTGTTTCTACATAAAGTGTTTTCATATTTTAATTCTTTAAATAGCAAGGTATCCTTGCTCAGTTGTTTCAGTATCAGAAATACTCTCTGATCTTTCTGTTGTCTCCTTCGGGGTCTCCTGCACTTGAAATATCCAAAGAGGTGGAAATCTTGCTTGCTAAATGCATCTCACTTTTACATACTTTAAACAGTAATTTATTTCAAGAGAACACAAACCAATGAGATGTGATGACAATCTGAGCATATTGCTGTCGGCAATAAGGATTACAGATGCTCTGCTTCATTGTCAGGTAAATGTGGGGCTTTATGTTGAATGCTCAAATTTAAACTGCACCAAGCAGTAAATAAGAATGGGCTACACTCTTAAGAATGATCTTTTGCACTGGGAGCAACTGGAGAAAGCAAGCACTGTTGCTGACATCCATCTTCCTTGTAGCACAGTTCTGTGTATTCCCTGTACTACTGAATATGCTCTCTGTGGCCCTCCAGAAAGTTCCCATTAAAACTTCACATGGCCAAGTGATGCAACTGAAACCAATACAGGGAATGATTAAAGGAATCTGTTTTCCAGAGATTGCTTTGACTTTTCATTTAAAATATAATATAATGAAAATCAAATTAATGAACTTTAGTTAACCAAGAAATTTTTCTGAGAAATTGATGTGAACTTTAAATTTCATCTATAAATCTGTCCCTGAAATTCACCTGTGTACACACTTTTTGAAGACAGGGCTCACTTAAGGGCCCCTGGATGATTTAAATACCATTTTTTACTGATATCTAAAGAATTTAAGAGGATGGGAAATAAGAAAAGGCTGGAACCCATGTTGACACAGGAGATGTATTTTAAACTCTTGCTCACTGTGCACATCTCTATGAAAGAACTGCCCTTCCTGAAGTTGGTATTTACAGTGAGGATGGCATAAGGCAGATATTCTTCTTCACCCTGTTTGGTTTTCCTACAAAAGATGTTTAATTGGAGTAATGTGACCAATTTATTCTTCTTTTATCACTGAGGTACTTTTCCTATGCAAGAAACACCATAAAATTACACAACACTGCTTATTAGTACACAAACAAAGCAAAACAACTGGCACATTTCTTAACCTGTGGTGTCCATCCACCCAGCACATAGAGCTTATTCTTCACCGTCACCACCACATGGCAGGCTAATGGTACTGGAAGAGGTGCTGTGCTTCTCCAGGTGCCTTGCTCCATGGAATACTTCTCCACACAGTTTGTCACCAGATACTGATTTTTCACTTTCATTTGCCCTCCTATTACATAGAGATCGTTCTGGATAGTGCCCAATGCGTAGAGTTCACGGAGCTGAGTGGTGCACAGGCTGTGCCAAAACTGGTTTCCTCGCGGGTGGTATCTGTAGGAAAATCCAAAGTTGTAAATGCCCTGGTTCACTGAGATCCCATCAGCTTGTTTTGAAATGTTACCCCCTTCATCGTCAATGTTTATTCAGACAATAGTACCATGACAAGAGAAGCTTTATCCTTCACAGAGAAGTTATAAAATTGAGTCCAATGTTTGCAAGATCAAGCATTTTTAGTATGAGGAATCCTAGACATCCTTTCAAAGATATTTGACCTAATTAAGGTAAGAAGACCCTTATTTCTGCACATGCTGCTCAATCACAGTTTCCACTGAAGTTAGTGGGAAAAGTAAGACCTCAACACTGCTGAAAATAAGGCCACTTCATCTGCCTCAGTATGGATTTACTTCCTTAAATTTAGGCATCTGTATTTGAAAATGCTGTCACCATTTTTTATTTTTGTCTTTAATCCAGAAAATGTCTGGTTTTCTTTAAAATGGGTACATCTGAAAAAGACGTGAGTAAAACCAGAATGAGTGTTTAACACTATCAATCATTATCCTTTAATCTCTGAAATACTATCATCAACATCAACAGAGAAGTATGTTTCCTCTGTCTTACTGGACTCCTTGGGTCATTCGCTTGACTCATTCCCCCCTGCTAATGACCTAGAAAAGAGTATCCTAGGAAAACTTTGAGATTTGAGTAAGAAGAATATAAAATCCACATACATTGATGTAGGATCTAATCAAGCCGATTTACACAGAGATGCCACTGGAGTAAATCCTCCTTCTTTCAGGGAGAAAGACATCAAGATTTGGCTGTATCTGTAGAATTCAGTGCCATGAAGATAAATTGTGACAAATTGATTAGAGTAATTGAAATCTCTGGGAAAACTTTCTTATAGTCTAATAGTCTTTTTTTTTTGTCCCCAGAAACATTATTTGGATTTAAAATTTTTAAATAATTAGGGATATTCTGACAGAGGGTACACACCTATAAATTTCGATGTTCCTGGTCTTTTGTCTAGACATTTTGACGGCGCTTGCCTCTCCTGCCACAATAATATCATTTTTCTCAGTGACAACACCAGTGCAAACACATCCTAAACCTTCTCCATACTTTGGAGAGGAAATGAAGTAAGTCTTTTTTGTCGCAGGAGCATAACAAAAACTGGCATCTGCATAGCTACCATGTCTTGACCTAATGCCGAGAGAATTGTTGCCGATGCAGAGTAAGAGATCAGTAGTCTCCATGCCATACCGCAGGCTGAGAGAAGGGTGGCTGGATAGTTTGATGGTTTTCAGTGCTTCCTCAAACATATCATTGCATTCTGAATTGCACAGGATCATTGTGTTCCTTTTCTGGGCTTCCACGAGAAAGGAAGGGCTGATAAGTACCAGTCTCACTTGCTTCAGGAGCTCAATAAGGTGCTCTACACGTGACTTTCTGCTGTGCTTGACCCATCTAATGACAAGATCCAGAATGCTCTCCTCCCTGGAAATATTCAGATCATCTGATTTTATGAGAGTCAACAGTTGATGGAATTCAATCTCTAATATTTCTTCCTGTAAGCTCACCTCAGCAAAATGCTGATATAAGTATTTCCTCGCTTGATCAGATAAATCTTCTGCCCCAATGTGGCTTGCAAAGTAGTAGATGCCCACACAGTTGGACACATCCATATGGTCCATCATGTACTTCTGACACATACTGAAAACATCTTCCATCTGCATGAAATATGCAGCAAGCGCAACAGTCTGCACATTCTGATTAGTGAGGTGCAAATCTGCACTGTACATGTAATTGAGTATTACGGACACGCTTTCTGCAGAGATGTCATACAGTACCACTTCTCTTTGCGTGCATTCAACCAAGCCACAGGTAAACATGGCTTTGAAATAGGGACTGAAGGCAGCCAGCACCACCTTATGGCAGGGGAATTTCTCACCTTCTGCAACTAGGACAACATCAATGATCTCTGTTGATTCTTTCATTCTCTTTACTTGTTCCAATAAAGTCAAGCCATGGCACTGCTTTCTTTTCTCCTCAGCCTTATGATCCATGGTTGATCTCCAAACTTCCTGGTTTTAAATATCCTCAGAATTCAAGGTCTTCATCAGGAATATTTCTAGAGGTAGAAGCATAACATTGTCCAATAAGAACAAATATTGCTGTTAATATCTAAAGATAGTAATTCTACAGGGTATGATATACATCAGTAATGCATAAAAACTATGTAAAATTATGGTGAGGTCTCAGGCTCAAGATCTCCAAGACAAAATAAAAATCAACACTTCAAATGATCTTCAATATTCAATAACCCTCCCACAAGTTTGGTGAATATTTAAAGAAAATCACACTCTTCCCTTCAAAATAGTCTTTTCCAGCTGCCTTCTCCCTCCTTTCCCTGATTGTCAGCCAGAGCCTGTTAAAATCAAGGGAGAGATTTCCACTGACTTTAATAAACCCTAGGCTGTTCAAGTTTTGTCTCTCACGTGCACCTGAGGGACATTAGTCCTTGCTTAGATGCTGAAAGTACCTTATATTTTCAACAGCTCCTTAGGTTAGACAGCTACAATAGAGTAGTGCCTTTTCAGTGCTCCCAGCTCCTCTCAAACTAGGATTTATGCCTAAGCAGAGACTTCAGAAAAAAGTTTTACAAGACTAAAAAAATGGAAAAACATTAGACTTGCTCCCCTCATTAGTTTTTACAGTCACCTACACCTCTGCAAAGCGGGTGGGAAATAAAGCCACTGGTACAACCCAGTTCACTGGCATTTTACAGAGGCATAAGTGGTTGTGTGGATGCTTAATACTCTGCCTTGCCACCAGACTTGGCTACCAGTTTGCAGAACAGTTTTGATTCAGAAGCCCTGTGCTTACACCCTTGCTAAGCAGTTAGGAAGCTGCTGCCTCATTACTCTACCCATGGATTTGTCTCTGCCCCATCATGCCCCACTTTACCAGTAGCTTTCTCCCCAGGCTTCAAGGTGAGGGAGCCAAGACAATGTTGTGGGCAGAGACAGCTTCCATCCGTGAAGTATGGTGGCAGAACTGGCAGGAAGCAACTCGGTCCAGTTGGCCAGATTCTTTACTCTTGCACACTAAAGTGGAGGTCACTGGTTTCTAGAGATGTTGCTACTGGTTTTGTTTTGGGATAAATAAAGGATTAGTATATAGGGGCCAGCTTTTGAGCTGTCCTCCTGCTTCTCAGTGGGATGTTTAAGTGCTGCAGATTCAGAGAGTTGTGGTTCCACTTACTGTAAGCTCAAATGGGATTTTTAATTAAATTGTAATTATTCGCATACTCCCTCTAGTTTTATTTATGGGGAAAACAGAAGGAACTTCATGGTCCCATTTCTGGGGTATTTTCAGGGGCCCTTTACTGAAGGTCTCTTGCTTTCATATCAGCAAGCCGCAGAACGTGAGGTGCAGTGGTAGAGCTGTCAATGGGAGAATGACCTTTGCTCATCACTTGAGGGACACCAGTCCCTAGCACAGTTTGTCTCTCTAATGTGGTAATGAGACAGTTCTGTTGTGGAAGTGCATTAAGGACTCATGTCATGAATCACCAATGCACAAACAAGTCCTAAACCTGTGGTATAACCGTACTTCAAACACGTTGCAAACATGCTATGAACTGCTTAATAAGACTATTCAAATGAGTAACATTCCTCACCAGCTTAAATATTTGTGGGATCAGGGTCTTGTATGGCAGATTGGACTGGTTTTCTCAAACCCTGGAAGCACAAAGAGTAGTCTTAGTTTCATTAAAGAAATATGTATCAACATAAAAATGTATGAAATTCTTTGAAATCCGTCTAAGGGTATTTTCACAAACAGTCCAGATTTCTCTACAGATCTAGACAGATGGATATTTTTAAAATATTGTAGTTCTTTCCCAGGTGAAGAGGAAATCTACAGCTATATCATCAATCTCAGACCTACTCTTTTAGCTGGTCAGTTGTTTTTGGAAGTAGTCATTTTGTTTTAACAAATACATAGATTCCTCACTTTGAGTGCTAAATTAAAAGCCAGGCATGCTTGAAGACTAGCATTTCCTTGATTTTATCAATTGTTTCCATATTCCAAATCTGGAATTAAAAACAACAAATCTGAAAAATTAATCTGAGTTATTACCAGGTTTGAAAAATGGATTTGGAAAACAAAACATTAACTTCATAGTCTGAATGTGGTCCAAGCTCTGAGCTCTTCTTGTGGTACTTTAAAAAAATCAATAAAAGGCAGTAAGTTTAGTACAAAAAATAAAGTGATGGTATTGCCAAAATCTAGAACTTTTTTTTCCCTGGCTACATTGAAAAGAAATACTGCATTTGAGAAAACGTAGGTCTTAGTCCTGCATTGACTGCCTCTGGAGCAGTCTGGACTTTACAGTCAGTAGAAGCCTTTTATGAGATAGAAAATGTTCTTTTTTTTTAATCTTACATGATAATTAGATGGCCAGTTTATTGTTTTCCCCTTGTGCTATTTTATCGCCTTGTAATATTTGACTTTCACTGCATTTTGATAAAGGAACCACGCCATATCTCAAAGATCATGTATTATAAGCACACATATCTTAAAGCAGATGAGCTGTAGTGTCTTTAACCAGGTTGTTCACTCTCCAACTGGATGAAAGTGTTAATAACTACCAACAAGACCCCAATCCTGTTTAGCAGTCTGACTAACCAGAGTTTTTCTTCCAAAATGATCAACTTCTCTCCTTTCTCTTTTTTGATGTCAGAGCTTCACACATCCTCCAGCTTTTCCATAATGGACAAAATGTGCATTTTTAATGCGAAGAACAAGTGAGATGATTAATCATCATCATCTTTCCCGGACTTTTGTACAGATCAGGAAGAAGCAGTGTGTAGAACTGAGTTATGATTTCACTTCCTTTGCTGGTCACCTTTAAGTTTTCTTTCACTGTTAATTTAGCTTTCTTAAGAGCAACACTTTGTCTTTGATTACACCGTTCAACAGATTTGTGAATTTTTTGTGTTCATTTACCAGTGATTAGGATATCTGGCACAACATGCTCACAGCCATTTTCTCCTCTCTTCCATCCTTAAGACGTTAGCAACAGGAATCTTAAAGCACAATGTAGTTCACGCCATTTACGTACTACTTTAGGCACAAATTGCCTGATGGGTAAGTCCTACACCCCCTACCCAGATGATGAAGGGCATTGCCCATCTGCACCCGGAGCAGGGTGGTCTCCTCTGCCGCCCACAAAGCTGGTGGGGTGGCTCTGGGCATCCTCCCCGGGAGCAGCAGCAGAGCTGCATACAGCCCGTGAGTGGCAGATGGCGTGGCCTTCCCTTTCCTGGAGCTGGTCCATAGCCAGCCATCACCTCATCCTTGGGCTGAACTGTGCAAGGAGTCTCCACCTTGCCATCAGGATGACCTCCAACCCTCCAACCGCCTCTTCACCCACCTCGTTGCACTCTGCAGAGCAACACTGCTTCCTTGCCCAGAGTTACAGGAGGAGCTTGGTTACCTTACACTTTCAAGAAGACAGTATTTGCCTTTCCTCATAAGAATGCACCTTCTTCATGTCCTTGCTTTGATAGCACACCAAGCTCCTGACTGAACTGTACTCAATAAAATTGTGCTGTTGACTTGTATGTAAGTCTACTTTCTCCATCCTACAGCTGAGGAAACTGAAGCTAAAAGGTTAAAAAGAAAACAGGATTAAAACCCAGGGGTGAAATCCTTTCATTAACTTCAGAAATTCATCCCTGTGCATTAGCTACAAACGTGTCACTCCCCTCCTGGCTTTTAGCAGTGTTTAGGTGAGGTCATTGGAAGGATATTAATATTCTCCTTTATATCACTGGAAAGACTATTAAAGGGTAATAATGAAACGGTGCTGCTTTGCTTTCCCCTCTGGGTTACACAGGAAAAAAGATGGTACATTGATATTAAAAGAAAGGATAAATGTGATACAAATATAATTTGCAGTGAGACACTATACTGAGATTTTGCCAGAGGCTAGGTTGTCATTATAAAACCTCCAGTGCAAGGCTCAAATCCTTTGTAATGTCACCAGGAGCTGAAATCAGAGTTATTGCCTTATTCAGAGTTTTTGGATGTTTTTTTGTTCTATTGTGAAAAATGGATTCAGGTGCAAATCTTCAATTGATGTTACTTTATTTCAGAGCCAGGCTGTTAATTTTCCTCCAGTTCTGGCTGTTACTTTAATTTTTGTATCAGCTGTTTCAGCTGTTTTGTTAACCTAATTTCCCTTTTTTTTTTTTTTTTTTTTTTTTTTTTTTCGTGTTTTTTTTTTTTTTTTTTAATCTTATTTCCTTTTTTTTTTTTTTTTTTTTTTTGCTTTTGTGTCATGAACCTTATGAAGAGTCATATGTAATTTTATGCTGGAGCTACAGCATACGTTTTGCAAGGCAGTAGGGTGCTGCATGAGCAGTTCAAAACATAAATAAGCGCACTGCTGTGAGCTCAGCTCTACAGCTTTTATGAGGCTATCAAACTATAAATAAATGCTGTCCTCAATTCTCAGTTACACTGCAGCCTCTTTGAACTGCCCCAGTGCAAAGGGACCGTAAACCAGATGGAAGTATCTCATCAGGAATTTCCCTTAACCTCTGAAAACAACAAAAAAAAAGCTACCTTGTAATTAGAGACATTATTTTCTCTGTATTTTTTTCTGGGACATATATTTTTCTTGTCTTTTCCCCCCAGTCCCAAGGCATCTCCTCTTTCCCGTGCCGTGGTGGGAGGGTGGGAGCTGCGGGACCCGGCCCAGAAGAGGTCACAGCACCCAGCATGGGGCAGTGGGCTGCAGCGCAGGGGGCACCTCCTGCAGCCTCCTCTTCCTCCTCTGCTTTTTTTTCTTTTTTTTTTCCTTCTTTGCCTTAATGAGACTGCCCTGTCTTCAGCCTGCCTCCCTTCAGGTGCTGAAAGGATCAGAGTTCAGTCACATCAAAGAACCGGTGCCTCTGCCTATGAATTATTTGTGCTTCCTTTGTTATCAGTAAGCTGAGAAGCAAATCTGCTAATTGTATGCATTATGACATTTGGCTGACAGCCACAGTAAGGC